GGCTGCAGGTCTCATTGTTAAATAGAACTCTGACAATGTTAACAGAAAGATAGAGGAACATGTACAACTCATCCAGTAGAATATTAACAAACTCACTGATAATTGTTTGCACCTTTCAAAAGAAGCTGATCGGGATTGATCCATAAACCTATATCTTGAGTAGAGAGAAGTTCAGCTTAATATCAACATCTGTACTACTAGAGGGGATTGCATAATGTCAACATTCCTTAATGTCCAGCTGTGTACTCAGTTTGTCCTTGGAAATGAGAGCAAGACCAAGTAAGTCACACATACATAACCCCGTCTATCTGAAATGACCATCGTGAAATGATACTTTGCAGTGCTTTGTAGCTTTAAAACAGCTGCCTTTTTTACAGGAGGTAAGGACTTTATAGGGTATTTCAATGACACAAACTTTTGTAAGGTGTAGCTATGTTAAAGATAGGGAATTTTATAGTACAAAAATAATTCTTCTGACACTACATATACTTACCTGCTCAATAGAACTTGCATATTGTGAAAAAAAAAGAGATTTAGGCATTTCAAAGGATCAAAAGATCAGTTTTAGAGAGCATGAATCTATAGATCTAATTGCCTTGTTGAATTTCCAAATTCTCAAAATTTACATTGGTACATCATTCGTACGCTAATCAAGGCAAAGGGACCAAATGTTACTGTAGGAATCATTTACTTAATTCTATCAGATGTACGCCAATCATTACAAAGAGCAGAAAACACAATTGTTCTTGATATGCAGTGCTTCTTGCAGTATATTTCTTTTAAAACTTACTAAATAATATTCCTCTTGTTTGAGCAGCTTTGTGTTTAAGTGAATAGGCAGTGTTCCAGCAGCTACACTTCAATGGCTAGATCTGGAGAGACTCCATAATATCAAAATTGTTCCTGGAGATGAGAAACTTCATATAGCTATTCACTTAAGAGGGAAAAGAACACAAAAGAATGCTTAATCACAGTGTCTTGAAGATGAACTCTTTACAAGAGCTCTCTTTCCACATGAAGTAAGGAATTCTGAGTATTCTTTTGCAAAACAGTTAATAAAATTGTTTTCAGTTTTTAGTTGCTCCTTTCTCCGCTCAAGAGAATATTAAATGAATAGTGGCAAGTTGTTGGGGCAACTTGACAGAATGCTGGGGAATAAGCTGCAATAGATTAGCATTCCATCCATGGGGAGTAGCAATATTCCTAGTAAATGCTTCATCCTCAGAAACCACAGTTAAGCATGGCACCACAAACAAGCTTTAAGTTTGGCTTCAAAGGTTTCCTTTAAGGGAATATGTTTAGCTAGCCATTTTCACTTTGTATAAAAGGCTTACCAGGAGAAGAGGATCCAAGACCATCCCAAGAACGGCTGGAGGAGACTAGCAGATGATGACTGGTGGGCAAGGCAGGCTACACCTGGAGGTAGATTGATAAGGTGGCTCAAGATGAGACAGAACAAGATGGCCTGCAGCTTTCATGGACCTATGCTCCACTGGGAATGAAAGGGAATAAGTAAGTGTAAATTAAAGGCTTATGAGATGGGTAAACTGGAGAATGAGTAGTGCTGAATATCACAAAATGTTTAGAATTGGATTCAGATGACATCAACGAAGCACAAGGAAAGCATGAGGGCTATATTGGGAGAATATACAGTTCCAGAAAATATTTATGTCTACCCCGCGGAAGGTCATCTGAAATTCTGAGGGGGTGGAGGGTTTCATTTTAAAGCCCAAGTGTTTCAAGGATAGCAATATGGAGCTGGACTGAATTTCCAGTGGGGTGGGAGGCCTAAACCAAAAAATACTTCCACAATGGGGGTAAAGGTATTTTTTGGAACAACAAAATATCAGGTTCAATACTTGATGTAATGGATAAGTGCATCAATTAAGGTCCAGAAAGAAAAGGTCCCAGGACCAACGCTATCCCTGTCAGTAAAATATTATATACTCTTGAGCAAGCTCAGCTAATCCAGGATCTATTACAAGACTTTGACTGAAAAAGAACTTTTGAGTAGGAACTTTACAGGGTCCGATACTTACAAATTATTGTACCATTTGTGCCATAAATAACACGGTCTGAGTGGCTGATTTTATTGATTATTCTTTAGGTTGTAGTCATGTTTAAATATTGACTATGATCTGATATTCAAATATGATTCTCATCTAAATCTGTTTCAGGACTGTCGCTGATGCTGTCAGTTTGGACTGTAATTTCCAAGTGGAAATCTTAATAAGATTTTACAACTCTTAAAAGAAATCTTTAGGGATCTTAAAGGAATCTTATGAGAACTTCAGAGAAAGTACTTTACAGTCTTGTAAGAATCTTTCAAAAACCTGAAATTATCTTACAAAAACTTTTAATAAAAATATTCTACGAATCTTTCAAGATCTGGTCATAAGTAATGTACAAGATCTTGTGGGTATCTTGAATGTTTTTATTTTCATTTATCTGTTAAATAAAGCATGCTATAAGATCAGTTGTATGAATCTTTCAAATACCTGTAAAACATTATTACAAGACCTTGGAAGAATCCTACGTAATCTTATAGTAGTGTGAGAGCTCATATTAAAATCTTACGATGGTCTTATAAGAACTTGGATGAATTTTGTAAGAATCTTATACTTGGAGGCTAAAATGTAAGAATCTTCCAAAATCTTGTAGGTTTCTTATAAGAACTCATAAGATTCTGACACCACAGCAAACTATCTCTGAGAGACTCTGCAAGAATCTTACAAGAACTTGTGATTTATTTTTTCCATGAATCTTGTAAAATTCAGGTAAGAATCTTATAAGAACTTCTAAGATTATATCATAAAGAACATTATATAAGGGTTTTGTAAAAATCTTATCATGATTTCCACCTGGGTTTGGATCCTGTGGAGGACTTGCCCTGCCTTCGGTTCCCTTGAAGGCTACCAATGGCGGGGCAGACCCAAGGCAACAAAGAGGAGGACACCAAAAAAGGAGATGGGAACCAACTGAATGGAGGACCTGGAACAAGGTGTGTGTCCCGACAGCCAAGAGGTGGTTGGCGTTAGAGTGTACACTTGGCACGAAGATGTTGACTATGTAGAGATGGGTGAAAAGCAAGTAAGTGCTTTTAAAATGATCAAAGGGTATTCATCTTAAACTTAATTATTGTACTCCCCTCTATTAAGTGTCTGGATATATTCACAATCTTGAAGGAAGGGTTAAGTACATTTTGTGATGGTGAAATGGCTGAGGTCCTGGGGTATCAATCACGTGACAGTTGTTTGATGCTATCGTTTATTTTCTGAAATTCAACAGGCGATGGGAGATTTCTCAGAGATTTTAACCCTTTTGGTAAACACCACAAACACTCGACAGGTGAAATAACCCAGCTCAATAAAATATTGAAAAGACCAAATATGTTCCGATTTTAGTCAGTATTGATGTACTGATAGTGTAATAATGGGGATTAAATATTGCCACAGGATCACAATAACAACTGCAACATAGTGACGAGCTAGGCACCAGACAGAGGATCAATAGCATGACCATGCAAAGACCACCCGGAGTTGACGGTTCTCTACAGCTGGGGAAAGAAAGCAGCATCAAGGCCAGATTGATTGAATACAGTGGGAGGTGAGGTGATTAATCAAAAGTCTTGATGTGCATGTATCATCCATCAAGGTTTAAAAGAAATCCATCCAATCCAGTTTCAAGCTTTGGACTGAGAGGGCTTCGCAGTAGTTTTTAATGACTGCTTGTTTACAATTCAAATTCTTCTTCAAGTCTGCCTACATTATAAGTAAAATGTATTAAACAATTATTAGTGACAACTAAGAATTTGAAAAGTCCTACTTCTCATTAAAGAAGGATCAATTTTAACTGTTGATTTAAATAATGAAAATTAATTGTTATTTGCTTGCTATACTGTTTCCAGGATCATTTCATCCAGCTAATGATGTCATCCTTAACATTAAACACAACTTTCACTGCTTTATACTTCAAGAATTTGTGGAGAATTCACATCAAGTATAAATCAAACCAAAGACACAGATGACTTGCCCTGAGAAGGAAGTGAAATCATCAGACAATAATTATTAGTAACATGGAGAAAGGTTAGTTTTAAAAGAGTTAAAGGTATCTCAAATAAAAGTGAACAGTGGCGTGGATAGTTGCTCTTACTGGAATGTGTGTTCTGCCAGTTTTACTAAAGTAACATGGACATCAAACATTTGGTACCTTGTCTTATTCAAGCATCATGAGAAAGACACGACGAGAAATACAGAGAGGAACTTTTAATCAGCAACCTTGAACTGTGAAATTGAAGATGACTCATCTGCGTGGATCGTGTCTTAATCATGATATGAAAACTGACTTTGTTTTTAGTAATAATCTCTGTCATCAGTATTAATAGCTAAATTCTGCAAATCTTTGTACATAGTGTTGTTTAGGTCACTCTGACTGGTTGAAAAGTTGTAAGTTTCCAAGTGTGTATTTAAGGGGGTGAATACCGGTACATGGTGAACAGAACCTTTGTGTTAAATGACTAATTTCATCTCAAGAGGATTTGTATCAGAAGCTGCAAGTTGAAATCTTAAACTCCCCAACCAGGCTGAAAGTGCTGCCTGGGATTATATTTGTCATATAATCACCCCCTTAACTACACACCCTGCAGTATAATTATGATGATTCAGTCACCAGTGAAACAATAAATTTGTAACACAGTGAAACCTGTATTAGGCAGACCCTATATTAAGCGGACATCCTCTATTAAGTGGACACCAACTTAAGTCCCAAAATTTTCTTCCCACATTCACTGTAAAGTAAACCTGCAGTTAGCGGACACCTCTGTTAAGCGGATGCAGGGCCCAATATTAAGCCATTTTTTTGCACAAAACCTGCAATAAGCAGACAATTCAACAGATTTTTACTTCTAAAGGTCTAGGTGAGAATCCTTTAATATTGTTCAGCAATGTCGTTTTAAAGCTAAGTGATTATCCCAGATTGATGCATTGACTGACTGGACATTCTCCTATGAGCAGTGTTTGATCTTTACACTGTGTTACAAAGGAGTTAATAATTAACTATTATTGCACAACATATTAGAACCTGTTCTGAGCGGACACCCTGTATTAAGCAGACACTAATGAGGGTCCCAAGGGTGTCCGCTAAATACAGGTTTCACTGTAATCAGAAACCTCTGTGAGTTACGAATCACTTGGACTCTCTTAAACTATTGCCGACAACTAGTGCTACAATTGTCAAACCATTGTCACATGGCAATACAATCCTTAAAATTTTACCTTTCTTTCTTATGTCTCAAATTCATTTCTTTAAGTCCTACAATGTAGTAAACCATTGCATTAAGTTAAAATTTACCGAAATTACACAGAAGAGCTTGGCTTGAAAATTAATTTGCAAATGCAGTCAATTGGCCACTCCCCAAATTCATTTACATTTACCTCAAGTATTTGCCTGTTCCAATTCAAGGAAGTGTTTATGTTATCATGAAAGCATGTACTTTTTAAACATTTGAGTACCATCCCATCTGTTTGATTTTATTCATGAGGTCATGAAACCCTTAACAAATCATGTTATTCTACAAAACTTTGC